ACTTGAACACTTGAACGAGTTCTACAAAAATTTGTGTGTGTATCAAAGCATTCATATCTATGCTTGGTTTGACAGAAAATCGTGTAAGACGAATCAAAGAATTTTTTTCAGTCACAGGTATGTACAAAAAAAATTATATTTATGTATATATGTATATATATATATATTTATATATATATATATATATATATATATATATAATATATATATATATATATATATATATATATATATATTTATATATATATATGTATATATATATATATATATATATATATATATATATATATATATATATATATATATATATATATATATATATATATATATATATATATATATATATATATATACATCCCAGTAAGCACAAGACGCATTTTCGACACTTATAGACGTCTAAAACTAGTCTAGGTAAAGACGCACTTTTATAGACGTTTTAAAGACATCTTTTAGACGTCTTTTATAAATGCGTTTTTAAAATGACGTTTAAAATGCGTCTTTTTAAAGTTTAAAAAGACGTTTAAAAGTCGCATAATAAATAGTTTAAAGGACACATTAAAAGACGTCTAGATCATAAGGCTAAAAGACGTCTTTTCTGAGACCTGTTTATAAATATGTCATTATGACTTCTTTTTGACGGCTTTGTCATTACGCGTTAAGTAGATGTCGTTTATTCAAAGTAAAAACATAGTTTTTATTATTTTCAATAATTTGTTCAAGTTTTAAGTGTAAATTACTTTAAATTAAATTACTTTTTTACACAATTGCTAAAACTGTTGTCACAGGAATCACTAAAACAATTGCTATAATATTAATATATCTTTTTTTTATTAATAACTATTTTGCTTTTTTAATAGATAGTTGACTGATCATGATAATAAGTGAAAATGGCAAGAATAATAAATAAGTTAAATATCAGTATTTTTAGTTTTTATACACCTACAAGCCATATAATAAGTCAAGTATGCGGTCAAAAATTAGCTAGTACTATGTATGATTAATTTTATCATTTCTAAAGGTAAGTTATAAATGTTTTAAATACTGTTTTGATATATATTTGCTATTGTTGTTTATTATTTTCATCTTTGATGCATCAACCGTTAATGGTGATTACAGCAATATTACTTTGATTGCTGGTTCCTATGTATATCTTGTATATACGAAATTACAACATTATATATCGTTATGATTATAATGAATATATACCACATACTACGCGAAAATGTTACGTCATGTACTAAAATTTATCTTGAAAAATACGTCTAAAACGCGTTTTTATAAAGACGTCTTCATTTAGACGTCTTTTAGCCTTATGATCTAGACGTCTACAAGTGCGCCTTTTAGACCTCCTTAAAGACATCTTTAAAACGTATTTCAAACGTCTTTGTGCTTACTGGGATTATTATTATTATTCGAGGACGATCTTCTCATTATGCTCGAATAAAATCTACCAGACTTTACCTTCCAGAAGACTTAAATATTTTAAAAATATACTGCATGTTTAAAGAAAAGTATCCTTCAGAAAAGTGTTCCTATGAAAGTTATCGTAAAATTTTTAATTCAAAGTTTAACATTTCATTTGGATATCCTCGAAAAGACACTTGCTCATTTTGTGATTTAACAAAGAAAAAGATAACTGCAATTGATTGTCAAGTACCTAGTGACTCTGTTGCTGCAAATGATTTGTTATATAAGAAAAATGCTTTAAATGCATCTCTTGAACTTCATCAGAGAAAGGCTGAAATGTTTTACCAAAGAAAAAGAACTGCACGTTTACAAGCTCAACAAACTTTGGAATGTTCAGCAGTCTGCTTTGATTTTCAAAAAAATCTGAAACGCCCAAACATTCCATTTCAAGATGTATACTATTCCAGGCAACTGTCATTTTACTCTTTCAACATTCATATATTTTCTTCTCAAAAAGTATATTTTTATTGCTATGATGAAACCATTGGCAACAAAGGCTCAGATGATATATGTTCTATGCTTCATGATTTTTTTACGTTTCATTTACCTGAAAATGTAAAGCATATCAAATTGTTTTGTGATTCCTGTGCAGGACAAAATAAAAACTCGACAGTTTTGCGTTTTTTTAATATCTAGTTCATAAAGTAGAAAGATTTGACAGCTTTACTCTTTCATACCCTTTTAGAGGTCATTCCTACATGGAATGTGACAGAGATATGGCTATTATTATTCAAAAGTCTCCAGCGGAAACACCAGAAGATTGGAGGAGTGTTTTTCGGGCACCTCGAAAAATACCAGAGCCTTTCAACATCATAAACATGGCGCAAGAAAAGTTTTTGAAATTTACAGAGTTTTTAAAGCCATACTTTTTAGTTGTTTGTCCATTTAAGACACGTCCCATCAGAGAAGTTGAAATATCAAATACTCATTCTAACCTAATTATGTATAGGAAAAACTGGAGCGGTATGTTTAGTCTTATGCGTGTTACATCCTTTAGGTCTGAATCATGTTCTCGTTCAATAAGAGGGAAAAGATTGACCCGATCTAAACATGTCTTTGAAGTGCCTGATAAGCCGAAACAAGCATATATAGACCGATTGCCACTTTCTTGTGAAAAATTCAAAGACTTACTAAAGCTAAAAAAATTTGTTAGTTAACAAAATAAGTCTTTCTATGATCAGTTGCCAGTTGATAACCTACTTGTCCAGGATTCTGAACCAGAGCAAATATCTGACTCAGAGTAGGAAAATGCAAAAAATAATAATTATTTAGAAAAATAATTAGTATGTTTATATATATATTTTGTTGAAAATAAAAATAACGTTTATTTTTAATAAGGCTTCATTTGGAACAGGGTGTTTATATGGGCTATAGAATTTCAATATTATAATACTATAACTTTTTTAAAAGTTTTTATAAATGTGATGAGTTATTTGATTTTATTATCTACTCCTATCTACTTTTAAACAAATAAGTGCTCCAAAAGCTATCAAGTTAAGGTAGTTTACAAGCTGCTGAATTTACAACGGAAAAATCACAGATGTCCAAATTGAGTGTCTTGACTTCAAACGGACATTGTGAACAAATATTACTTGTAATTAGCGAAAAGACTGCTTTTATATATTGTTTTAAGAATATAATGTCATAAAAAAATGCTTTGCAATGAATAGATTATAAATAAACTGGTATTTGATACTTCTAAACACAAAAGTTCATTTTTCTCAAAATGAGAAAAATGTGACATCTGTGGTTTTACCCGTGTGGTCTTCATATATATATATATATATATATATATATATATATATATATATATATATATATATATATATATATATATATATATATATATATATATATATATATATATATATATATATATATATATATATATATATATATATATATATATATATATATATATATATATATATATATATATATATTGCCTTTTTGTAGAACAAAAAAGCTTTCAATTATTCTAACATTTAAGTAAATAATAGATACCAGTATATCAAATATGTGAAAAATTCAAAAGTGTGCAGATCCTTAAATATGATATTTAATAAAAAAGGTTAGATTTTTTAATTTTTAAAAAACTGATTTTAAAATTAATTGATTTATTGTTTTCACAGTTAAGATTAAACTATTATAATAGTTTTTATAATAGTTTAATCTTAACTGCATAATAATTTTTTTTTATGCATAATATAATAATCTTAACCGTGAAAATTAATATAATAATCGTTTATGATAATAGTTCAGTAAGCCTTCATATTTGTGTAAGCTATCTTGATATTTATTATATATATATATATATATATATATATATATATATATATATATATATATATATATATATATATATATATATATATATATATATATATATATATTGCCTTTTTGTAGAACAAAAAAGCTTTCAATTATTCTAACATTTAAGTAAATAATAGATACCAGTATATCAAATATGTGAAAAATTCAAAAGTGTGCAGATCCTTAAATATGATATTTAATAAAAAAGGTTAGGTTTTTTAATTTTTAAAAAACTGATTTTAAAATTAATTGATTTATTGTTTTCACAGTTAAGATTAAACTATTATAATAGTTTTTATAATAGTTTAATCTTAACTGCATAATAATTTTTTTTTATGCATAATATAATAATCTTAACCGTGAAAATTAATATAATAATCGTTTATGATAATAGTTCAGTAAGCCTTCATATTTGTGTAAGCTATCTTGATATTTATTATATATATATATATATAAATATATATATATATATATATATATATATATATATATATATATATATATATATATATATATATATATATATATATATATATATATATATATATATATATATATATATATATATATATATATATTTGAACTGTATAAATCTTTTTTAAAAAGATTTTTTGTATTTTTCAGAGACCATGCCCAAGTATGCCAAAATTAAACTAAGATATTGCGTTTGAGATATCCTGAAAAGAGCACCAGATAGAAAAGGCGACATTGACCATGAAAGTCTAAACCATGACAACAGTTTTTTTGATATTTTTTAGACATGCAATTTGAAATATATTTTAATCTTGTGCTAACTTTTAATTTTATGTTTTATTTGTTTTAATTAATAAATAACACTGGTTGCCGTTTCTGTTATGTTTTCTGAATGTGCAATTTTTGTCTCCTAAACCTCACAAATTATGTGATTGCTAAAATATCCTCATTGCATAAAAAAAGTCTTTTGAACGTTTAAAAGACGTATTTTCCAGACCAATTTTGTATAACTGCACTCATTCAAAAAGTCTTATTTAAGTTTATTTACGACGTCTTTAGGACGTCCTGAAAGGACATCTTTGAGCGTCTTATCTAGAATCAGTTTATATTGCGTCCCAAACGTTCAGTCTGAACGTTCATTGTACGTTTTTTGTACGTCACCGTGTTTGTGGGTTGTTTGATTGTTTTAAATTAAACTCAGTTTAGTAAATATTTTAAACATAAACATTATATTATAAAACTTTTACCAACTTTTCCATTGATTATCAGAAGGTCCGAAACGGAACCATCTTGTGGAGAATCCTTTATATTAGAACCATAAACTTTAATGTTTTTAAATTCTACAGCCAAAGAATTTTCTACTCTATAAACATTAATGTCATTCAAATAAACAGTAAATATAAACTTTTTTCCAACCAATAATTGACATATTCTAATATTTTGCCATTGTCCTAATAGAAGTGGATTTGTTTTGACGTAGTAGTTACTATTACCATGAACTGTAGCATAAATAACAAGACTTCCAGAACCATCTTCATGAAATACAATACCAAGGCTAAAGTCATCATATATTTCACTGCTATTACACAAGATTAAGTAAAGAACACTTTTTAAACCTTTAGAATAACTCATAGACTTCAAATTAAAAGAAATAGTGTACTCCTTTTTTAAAACATTAAGTATTCCTAGAATTCTTCCTTGATTTAGAACAAACTCATGTTTAAGAGCAATATAATCTAAATAATGTTAAGATAAAACTATTTAAATACAATGAGAACTATTTTTATATTAAAAATAATATAATTACATACATACATACATACATACATACATACATACATACATACATACATACATACATACATACATACATACATACATACATACATACATACCTACGTACATACATACATACATACATACATACATACATACATACATACATACATACATACATACATACATACATACATACATACATACATACATACATACATACATACATACATAGATACACATATACATACATACATACATATATACGGAGATTTCATTTCACCATCAAACTAAAATATAAAGAAGTTACCTTTAGGAAAAATAACAAGAGATTTTAATTCATTATCTAAAAAAAAAAAAGAAAACAATAATTTTTTTTAAAATGAAAAGCAAATTATTAATGACCTTAACCCATGACCAACCCATTTTGCGGCAGTCGGCCGAACTGCATTAGATTAGCAGTTTGGTCAATATTTTGTTTTAGTTGGCCGAACTGCATTGGATTTGCTATTAGGCCGACTGCTTTTTGCGTTAGTTGGCGCAACTTGATTTCATTTTCTATTTGACCAATTAGATTTTGAATTAGCTGGCGCAACTGCATTGGATTTGTAATTGGGGCTACTATACTTTGAATTAGCTGGCTGAACTGAATTCGATTTACAGTTGTACCAACCACATTTTGAAATAATTGGCTCAACTGCATTGTATTTGCTGTTGGTCTAACATAGTTTTGCGGCCAGATAACTTCTATAAAATAATGCTGAACTTAGTTTTAATAGTGTTACTTGAAGCGTATATGACACGAAACCCTTGGCAGCTATTGCAACCGAGAAATTGGCAAGAAAGTGTCGCAGCACTATAAGAAAACGTGAGCGAATATCTAACGTACGTAAACTTTAAACTAATTAATGTTAAAGCATATGTTAAAACATACTGAAACAGTTATCAAGTTTTACAGTTTGATTTTCACTTGAAAATTAAATTGCGTCAAGCTCTTCTTAATTTTAATCTATAATGTTTTTTCTATCAAAAAAATATTACATTATTTTAAAAAATCTACTCTACATGGTTTGCCGGTAAAGCTCGAGTGAATAAGGAGTGATGTTCGATTTAATGGCAGCTATTTTTTTTGAGCTTTTTACGATCACTTTAAAATACAAAATAACTTTAAAGTTTTATAAAGAATATATACAATATTAACATATTATGCACTTTCACAAAAGAAAAGATTTTAAGAAAGCTAAAAAAAAATATCACCGGGAGAAAGAATTTGTTGCTTATGTATGATGATTGAGAACTTATGTTATTAATGTGCTCAGGTAATTAGTCCTAACAGGCTGCAAATGGTCTGAAAAAAAAGTTGTCTGAAACTTAATAAAGAAAAAAACTATATTAAATAAATAAGAAAGTCCTGCTTCTTAAGAAGGTGCTGCTGTAGAGACAAAAAAAAAAAGCCCGTAGCTAGAAAAAAATTTAAATTTCTTTTAATAACTCAAAGTTTTTTATGCTTTATTTTTTATTTTACTATAAATATATGCTGCAGCTGTTTTTCAAATATATGCTTATTATGTTTGTCGAGAAAAACGCAATTAAAAATATTTAAAATTAACTCTTTGTTAAAGGTTTTTTGAAACGAATATTTTTAATGAGTTTTTTTCAGAACTCTTTGAAAATATGTATTCAATAATGTTTGTAGACATACAAACTAGCTCATTTTGTAAAAAAGTCAAAAATGATATTTTTAACCTTAAGGCGTTTTTAAAAACGGCTGAAGAATGGATGATACAACGAATATGTTAAAATGAGATTATTTGACGCAAGATTTAAAAGCACTTAACAAAAGCCACTAAACCAAAAAAATTTAATATAATTGCTTAAAAATATTATTATAGTGAAAATTTTGATTTTAGTGAATATAGTAGTTGTAGTTCAAAGTTTTATAAAAATTTTATTGTAGTACGTTTTTGCAAAGTAACGCTATATGAATCATTTTTTAATTTTAGATGTTATAAGACAGGCTATGCAAAACAGATTTTAGAAATTAAATTATTCAGACTAACACTATATTTCAGATATAACAGAATTTATTATAGAAACACCTTAAAATTTTTACTTACAGGCAATGCAAAACAGATTTTAGAAATTAAATTATTCAGACTAACACTAAATTTCAGATATAACAGAATTTATTACCGTAAATGGGGGTAACTAAAGCCACTTTCGAAATTCAAACTTCTGCCCAAGTCACAAAATACTCTTGTATAATGTATGATTAAGGCTTTAATATTAATTTTTTAATACAAATGAAGTGATTTTAATTAAATCCATTTTTATCAGTCACGTTAAAAATATGATGTGTATTTGTATAAAGATAATTAAAATTTCAAACAATAATATTAGCTTTACTTGTTGTTTTTTTTTAGGTGAATTAATTGCAATTGATAGAATTTCTTTAAAATGCTGAGTTAATCAAAATAATTTTTAATTATTCAGGAACTTTAAGGATTAAATTATTTAGCAAAAAAATTGTTTGATAATGAGTTCAATTTAAATTAAAAAAAAAATTAATATTAGCTCTCTCGCAAAATTAATATCAGTTCTCTTATCGTTTAAAGTTTAGAATATTTTCCAACAATTTTGTGACATCCATGAATATGAAGGGGAAAGGTGAAAATATGCTTTAAGAGCACTAATTTATATGGTGTAGTGAAAGGTATATCTTTATAAGATATGTAAAACTTTTTTATTCTAATTTTTTGTACATTCAAAAATTTCTCCTAGTGTTTTTTTTTTTAACAGCTTCTTCTATTAAATACGATGGAGCGACTGAAACTTTAATTGATGGCATTTTGTCTAACTTCTAAAAATGCGCTTCATTTCGAAAAGGTGGCGGAAAAAATAAAAATTTAGATTGATTGATATAAATTTATATTTACAAAAATCAATCTAAAATTTCTTTATTGAAATATTTACATATATTTCAATAAAGAAATATTTTGTATTTGTCTGCTAATATTGCTGTAATAATACTGCTGAGCAGTATCTGCAACTTTTTATCAACTGTATCGGCATCAGCGTGGTTCTCTAATCAGCATTTCACTGAACACAGTTTTGAAGAATTGCATTCTGCTGTTTTAGAATTTGATTGCCAGAAAGCAACAAAGTGTTTGCAAACGCATTGGGTAAATCAGCTTTCAGTCACTGACATTCCACGATCAAACATTGTGGCTGAAAGAGCAGTCAAAATAATGGAAGACATTTACACAAGCACCTTAATGTTAAATTCTTAAACTCAAAATTTACAATTCTGAACACTCAACAGTGCCTAAAGTAAGCATATAATCATATGGATGTTTAAAATTTCTGTTTTACAATACATAACTTGTGTGAATTAAGCATTGTAGCTATTTCTTTAAGGGTGCGCCAGGTTTTTTGAAATTTTAAAAAAATTAAGTCATATTTACTATATTTAGATAAAAGTTCATCATTTACCACCCCAGGAATCTTGAATGAAAAAAAGTTATATACCTAATGTATACTATTGGCGGTTAGGTATACTATAAGCGGTTAACATATGTATACTATTAGCGGTAAGATAAAAGAAATAATTCACTTTAAAAAAAGTCACATTAACTTTTAAATGATGTCTACAAAAAACATTTCTTACAAATGTTTGAAACAACTTAGTTTGATAAAACCGCTATTTAAATAATAAATGTAATTAGTAAGTTTAAATATAATTTTTTTTTGTTAATAAATATTTACTTATAAAAAAGATTTAAATAAAAAAAAAAGTTTAATTTATTTTTGTTTTTGTTTTCTTGTAATGATTGATTTTTTAAGCTTATAGCAAAAATCATTACATCATATTTTAATTTTTAACTTATAATTATAAAATTCATAATTTAGTTTTAAAATAAATCATAATTTAATATTATTTAGTTTAAAACTAATTTTATAACAATATATAATTTTATTGTGATAAAAAAATATATAATTTAATTTAGATTTTAAAATTATATAACTAAATATTGATTTAAAAAATATATTTAAGTTTATTGAAACTAAAGTTAATACTTGGGGTTAACTTAACTGTCTAATCTTATTAAAAATATTACTCAATTTTGCTCTATTTTTAAATTTTATTTGTTCTTAAAGAAAAAAACATCTTAATTTTATTCCAATAGTATTTCGGTTTTCCTTCCTAACATCTTTTTTCAGGGCTTTGGAGCAGTTACGGAGCTGGAGCCAGAGCAATCCGGAGCTGGTAATTTTAAATGGAGCTGGATGCAGATTTACAACTCTTTCGTAAGTCCAAAATTTGCGTACAGTTTGCGTAAGATTTTCTTTTGTTCAAAATTACGCAAAGTCATATTCACAAACCTTGCGTAAGCAAAAACTTGCAAAATTTTAAGTTTTTACGTAAGTTTTTAATTTCGAAAAAAGTCTAAAAAACAGTATTCACAGCATTTTCCTAATATGTGCTCAGGAAACTTAACGCAGAATAAGATACGTTGGCTATTTTCTGACTTACGTTTGGCGTAACTTTAAATCATCTAATAATATTATATAATAGCCCAGTGGGCATTTCGAACGAACGTCGAACGAACGTCGAGCGACGTCGGATCTCGACGTCGGATCGACGTTGGGTTTACGTTGGAAATGGAAATGTTATTTGACGTCGGATAAACTGACATCGCGCGACGTCGGCATTCCGATGTAAATCCAACGTGTTTTTTGAAAACGAAAAAACGTTGCCTTTAGCAGGAATCGAACCTCGGACTTTAAGATACTAAATCCTATGCGCTTACCACTACACCACAAGGACGTATTAATAGATGCGTTTATTTAGTAATGTATACTTGTAGCTATTTGGGAATTATTACTTTGATAAGAAATAATTTTGTTTAAATATTATATAAATATTAAAACGAATAGTTATATATTATAAAAAATGTATACTCGAAAATGTTAATAGTTAAAAAACTATGCTAGTGCATCATACAAAACCTCATGATGTTTTATCAACCTTTATTCAAACTTTTTTCCATTAATAAAAAAACACGCTTAGTTCACATAATTATTGAAGAGCGCAATTGCACACATATTGTTGGGTTTGGATTAAATTTTCATCAGCGATATCTTACGACGTTGTTCCAACGTCGTTTTAAGGACGTTGGATTGACGTCGGAAGACGTCAAAAGACATCGGAGTACGTTAATATTATGACGTTGCCCGACGTCTTTTTATCGACGTTGGATCGATGTCAGTACTGCGACGTTTTTTGGACGTCTTTTATAAGATGTCGGAACAACGTCAAAATACATCGAAACGACGTCAGGGGATGTTGAGATAAAGACATCGCCCGACGTCATTTTACTGACATCGGAACAACGTCGGAATAGGTCTTTTGACATCGCTGATGAAAATCAAACGTAAATCCGACGTCGGATTGACGTCGGGTGCCCACTGGGAGCGTTTTTTTATTATTGTAAAAGAGTTCATATTTTGTTTGTTATTGCCGATAAAATACAATTTTATATTAATATTATACTGCTATACATTTAGTTATTTTTTTTTAAATAATACAACTATAACTTTTGTTTTAACAGCAACAACAATAGCAGCATATTTACCAAAAATATAGATGTACAACAAAAACTTGTTTTATAAAACTTGTTTTCAACTTAAATTTAAGGTTAAAAAAATCTTCATACAATCTATATAATAGATGGTTGACTCTCTCA